ACTACAGCTACATCATAAAGCCGCCGCGGCGGTCCGCTAAGTGCGGCACAAATGCATGACAAGCGGCTGCGGAAGGCAGCGCGCTTAGGAAGCCCGCCGCGGCGGCACGCCGAATCGAAGGCGTTGATTTAGGAGCATATAGACAGCGGCCGCGGGAGGCGGTGTGCTTGTAGAAAAGCCGCTGCGGCGGTCCGCTATGTGCGGCACAAATGCATGACACGCGGCTGCGGAAGGCAGTGCGCTTAGGAAGCCCGCCGCGGCGGCACGCCGAATTGAAGGCGTTGATTTAGGAGCATATAGACAGCGGCCGCGGGAGGCGGTGAGCTTATAGAAAAGCCGCTGCGGCGGTCCGCTATGTGCGGCACAAATGCATGACACGCGGCTGCGGAAGGCAGTGCGCTTAGGAAGCCCGCCGCGGCGGCACGCCGAATTGAAGGCGTTGATTTAGGAGCATATAGACAGCGGCCGCGGGAGGCGGTGAGCTTATAGAAAAGCCGCTGCGGCGGTCCGCTAAGTGCGGCACAAATGCATGACACGCGGCTGCGGAAGGCAGTGCGCATAGGAAGCCCGCCGCGGCGGCACGCCGATATGAGGCGTTGATTTAGGAGCATATAGACAGCGGCCGCGGAAGGCGGTGCGCTTATAGAAAAGCCGCTGCGGCGGTCCGCTAAGTGCGGCACAAATGCATGACACGCGGCTGCGGAAGGCAGTGCGCTTAGGAAGCCCGCTGCGGCGGCACGCCGAATTGAAGGCGTTGATTTAGGAGCATATAGACAGCGGCCGCGGAAGGCGGTGCGCTTATAGAAAAGCCGCTGCGGCGGTCCGCTAAGTGCGGCACAAATGCATGACACGCGGCTGCGGAAGGCAGTGCGCTTAGGAAGCCCGCCGCGGCGGCACGCCGAATTGAAGGCGTTGATTTAGGAATGTGTAGACGGCGACCACGGAAGGCGGCCCGCTTGTAGAAAAGCTGCTGCGGCAGTCCTCAGAATACGGCACTAAAATGCCTGACAAGCGACTGCGGAAAACAGCACGATTAAGAAGCCCACCGCGGCGGCACACCGAATGGGAGGCGTTGTGACCTAGGAGGATATAGACAGCGACCGCGGAAGGCGGTGCGCTTGTAGAAAACTGCTGTGGTGGCCCGCAAAGCGCGGCACAGAATGCATGACGAGCAGCGGTGAAAGGCAACGCGATTAGGAAGCCTGCCGTGGCGGCACGCCAAACTGAAGGTTTGGTATGGGAACTTGTAGACAGCGACCACAGAAGGCATCGCGCTTGTAGCAAACCGCTGGGGTGGTCCACTGAGTTCGGTTCACAAGAGGCCGCAGGAGGTAGCGTTCTTGAGTAACCCGCAGTGATGGCTTGCCGGATTACAGGCGTGGCGATTTAGGAGTATGTCAACAACGATCACAGAAGGCGGTGCACTTGTAGAAGGGAGACAGGGAGAGACACGTCTCAGACACGGGACCAGGAGTACCAGACACGAAGCGGGGTACAGAACGAGCCACAGCTATTAGAAGGCCGTTACTGTTCCCCATAAAACCCCATAAAGGGCCGACCCACTGATGGAGACCATAAGGGTAGTTGCCCGAGTAAGGTGTGGAAAAGCCAGAAATAAACAATCGTATCAAACGCCCTTGCCTGGGAATGTTTTTCAGCTAGGCGGCTGAAGAATGCATTAGCATCTTTCTGTATGAGGAGGGGCGAAGGCCAATACAAACGTCATTGGTTGGCCCATCAGGAAACCAGAGGCAAGGATGCCGTGAGGGGAGAAGGGCGCTACAAAACGTCAAGGCCTGCCCAGGCGCA